TTGCTATGGCATCCATTCATCAGTGAGTGATGGTGGGTATTGCAGCTATTCTACTGAATATTTCAGCTATTCTACTGACTGGTGGTATGTTTTCTCTTGTGGCTGCTGAGACCAATGTTAGATTTGCAGGTCTTGCCACAGTGGGCATAGGTATACATGGCATTAGGGACTACTGTACTGACAGGCTGTTTCCTTCACTCATGTTTCTGTTGTAATTCAAGTGACCATTTCTTGTTGTGATGTTGGACTCCATGATTGAGAAGGGAACAACTCTTTGTCCTGTCTCCTGCTAAGGCCTCCCAAAGGTTTGGGTCACATCCAAAAGCTTTCATATCCTGCTTACGGACACCTTTGAAGTGCAGTTTTGGGTGCTCTACTGTTCTCTCCCCACTTGCAATTTACCTATACAGGATATCCTTTGGGATGTGCTCATCTTCCATCCTGCAAAGATGGCCAAGCCAGCATAGATGCCATTGTTTGAGTAGTGTAGTGATGGTTGGCTTTGGCAATGCCCTCTGTGTTGATGATTCTGTTTTGACACTTGATGTCCAGGATGTGCCATAAATAGCATAGGTGGAAGCTGTTCAGCTTCTTTTCTTGATATGCACATGTTGACCATGTCTCACTGCTATACATAAGGACACTGAGGACACAGGTTTGTACACAAGCAACTTAGTGTTGATTGTAAATTTTGCATTGTTCCAGACTCATTTGGAGAGCTTACTGAAAGTGGTAGCTGCCTTTCCAATGCACACATTTAGATGCACACATTCTAATAATAGGTAGTCACTCACTGTGGATCCAAAGTAGCAGAACTTGTTCACTGCCTCAAGAAGTGTGTTGTCAAGGCTGATTGATGATGACTGGTGCACACCCTGTCCTAGAACCACAGTCTTCTTGATGCTGATGGTCAAGGCAAACATCTTGCAAACACAGGAGAGGTGATTCATGAGTATTTGTAGTTTCATAGTTTCATAGTTTCTAGGGTCGGAAGGGACCTGAGCAGATCATCTAGTCTGACCCCCTGCCATGGCAGGAAGAGCACTGGGGCCAAATGACCCCAATAAGGTGGTCATCCAACCTCCTCTTAAAAACCCCCAGGGTGGGAGCCTGCACCACCT